ACTAATGATCCTAGTAACTGCTCCGAGCGGATCCGTGCTTTTCAGAACTACACTGAATACTCATCGTAGATGCCACCGTTGTTCTTCGCGCAGAAAGTCATTCGGTCTTCGGATTTTTGGTTTTGTGTCCAAAAGTTTAATGCATCGGATGTCAGAGATTCATGCTCTAAAGGCGTCGTTGATCACCAATCCCGATGATTTCGCCGTGGGAAAATACGTTGGAGAGTACGGGTTCATGAACGTTACCAGGTTTGCTATTTTGTCTTCTTTCCTTTTCTTATTCGCCCATTTTCTTGCATTTTGAACTGATTTATCTCATTAAGTTGCAGATTTTGAGAAATTGGCTGGATGCTTCATTTGTTACTTGCTGTTCACTTCTGTTTTTTCAAGTATTAAAAGTAACATTGAAATGCTGCAGTTATTCATCTTTTCAACCTGGAGGGCCTTCTGATGCTAGAAACATTGAAGTACCAGGTGTTGGATATTCTTCGGAAGACATTGAGCGTTTAAGAATCCAAGATGTTGGAGAAGGCAAAGTGAAAATTAGGTGCTTTTTCTCTTCCTGCATTGCAATAATCGTTATATGTTTACTCTTTCATCATGGTGCTTCTACATTCCCCAAAAAACAATTTTGTAATACTGCATTTGGGGCCCAATTCCTTTGGTAGACCAATCAAAATGGGGGGTGACATTATAGTTTTATTTTGAATGAGTTTTTCTTGTTCCACCTATTAAAAAGTAGATGTATCTCAGTTTAATGTAGCATTTTTTTAAGGAGTGTATCATTATTCTTTCTATATCATAATTTACCGTTTTCCCTTATTAAACTATATTGATAATATCTAAACATCTTATTTTAGGCTTTACGAGGGAAGAGTTGTTCAAGGTCCATTAAAGGGAGTCCGAGTGATTTTTAAGGTACAAATCTATGCCTATAACTCTAGCGATATTCATATAAAGCATTGAATTTTTACTTGAAACAGGGTATATTGGTTAAGTGCCCTGGCAATATCTTTTTTTTTTCTGTTCATTAAAAGAAAATGATTTTAATATGGTTGTTTTTGTTGTGCATTAGAGTATTGGTGTGAGAAGGCATCCACCTATGAGTTTTATTCTCCAAATAATTTGAAATTTTCGTGCAAATGCAACGGCATGTTGTACAAACCATGTTTTTTAGATGTGTCACATTCATTGAAGATTCGAATAGCCCCTCATCTTCTTTGTAATTGCAATTCTTTGTGTTTGTTTCATACCTTGTATGAATATAAATACAGTTCTTAAAAGCTGATTTATTGATGAAGGTAGGTGAAATTAAGTGCATGTAAGCATTGTAATATTGCAGCTGGGCAGTTATAGAAAATTATCCAACAAGATAAATAGACATTCTATGAATGCTGCGATTTTCACTAAAAAAAAAAAGAAGATAAAGAAAAAAAAAGAAAAAGAATAAAAGAGAACTTTTGAAGAAGTTATTTGTCTGTAAGATTGCTCTCGAAGCTTCACAGCTCTGCCTCATTTCCTGAAAAGACTTATGAAGGTTTATCCTGGACGACGTGCTGGTGGCATTGAAGCAGATATGATGGCTGCTAATGAGCTGAAATGTCATTCTTTCCTTCAAGTAAGGAAACCACTAAGTGAATATTTATATATTATTCCAATTTTTTTTTCTATGATTAGCCGATATGGCATGCCAAGTGTAGCTTTCATGAACTAATTCAATTGGAATGCATCTTGCAGGAAGATTCAAAATTTATATGTGAAAACATCCAGATCTTATTAGGAGGTTTCGAGACTAGAACTGGAGAGCAGGTTTGATATATA